CGAAGTAAATGTCCAGTGGTGAAGTTAGCATGGGACCGAGCCAGATAGCTTACAAGACACGAAGCCGCAGACCAAGGGCTATAGCCACGATGCCAATCAGCATTTAGGAAAGCCAGTAATTATCGGGTTCTGGACGAGAAGGCTCTTCAACAACAACCTTTAAATTATAGTCGGAGGAGGGCGCCATTACCGTACTGTACTCCTTATCGACTGCGATCTGACAAATTAATTCGGATTTCAGCACAAGCCCATAAAATACTTTCAGGAGATGGATATATTCTCCGTATATGGGCCTTGTCCTACATCGATAAAAGGCAAGTTAACAAACTTGCAACTTAGCTAACACAAGCCTCGGATATTCCAAGTAAGTCTTCTGCTAAAAATGACACACGCGGTTGACACACAACAAGCAGAAACACTGGTCGTTTGCGTCTCCCTATGTGAAGGTACTGACAGTATGGAAATCTCACTGTCATACACAACACAAAAGCGAGGTATGTAGTAGGAGTTCGAAAGTGGGCATCCGTAGACTAACACCACTAATGCCTTACTGCTACCAACATGCCCACGAATACAAAACGTATGCCCAAGGCCTTCATGGATCTTGTCCGACACCCTCGCATCAAACACAATGGAATCACTCCCAGTTTAATCACCACTCACAACGGAAAAAGCTGTTCCTGCATTTCCTGAGTAATTGCACGCTTTAACCACGTTTCAGCCTCATAAGTCACCTAGTAAAGCCGATGTCGTCAGGGTAGAAAGTAGTCACCAGCAGTGGTAGGCGGTCAAATTTATTGTCACAACGGTATGTCCGAGCAATTTAAGCTTGGTTGCGGGATGGATGGATGGAGAGTCATTACCAAGAGGTCTGTTCAGCAGTCGTCAGGTTCTTCTAACTAGTCTTGCTTGTTATCAAACAGTCAGGCTTCCTCATCCTGACATATGACAAATGAAACATCATTATCGCTCGAAAAGCTAGATCTTTTAGGAAGATCGCCACCAAAGATAAAGAAGGGCAAATTTTCGTGCGTTGAGTGCACTGGAGCCAGATTAAGGGGACAACGGCAAATAGTGACAGGTTTCCTTGCAGGTCGTCTATGCATGTGATAGTTGCTCTGCTCGTGTCCTACGTAAGATTTAACTCTCTTCTATAATCGCAGGAAGCTGTGAACTACGCGGCGGCCAGACTCGTAGGTTGTTGAACCAAAAAGGATTAGGGAGGTTGGCTCACCTAGGATGTCTAGGCAGCTTCATCTAGGGACTCAGAGGAGTTAAACAAACGGAAAATGCGCCCGGAAATTCTACTAATCCTGCCATATGCAAGCCAATATTGGCTTGTGGACGTTAAGTACACCGCTACCAAACACCAATTCCTGCATCCCCCAGTCCTCCCGCCAGCAACCTTGACAACTCTGACAACCTAGAATGGCTGATCTCTTTTGGATAACCCTAAGGCCAACCGGCCACACGATAGAACTGCTTTCGTTACCCGTCCACTGACTCGCTACGACGTAGATACAACCATACTCAATAAAACTTGTTTCCCTGAATAGGGATAGTTGGATGAAACTGCTTGTGTATAACAAACGAAGACGGAGGACTTGACGCCATGTCAGCCGCTGCGCTTAATCCCTTCAACATGTGTCCACGGCTCCGACAGGGCACCGGCACATGGGGAAAGAGTATGTGAAAATTGGTCCAATATGGAAGTAGCGTTCCTCGCAGAAACTCACAGCATTAATGGAGAAATTACGTTGTCAGATACGGTAACCGAACGTATACCCAGCCGTTTTAACTTAGTCTTGTCATCAGAATACGGTGAGAGTAGCAGTTTATGGTTGTCGAAAAATGTCACCTTACTATAAGCTAAGTCCCGGAATTGCATCCTTTTCGGGGCTGGTGCTTTACATCATCGTTCGCGGTGTCCGAACTATTTTGCGCGGAATAACGGTCAAGACCCTATACTTAATTTTGGCCTTTCTGCTGTATGGTCCGTTTCGAGAGTTCAAATAAAGCCTGGCGGGTTATAACGCATAGCTATATCAAGTCTGGGAACACTTCTAAATCAGTCCCAACACCAAGCAAGCTGTATGTATTATGCAGGCGGGTTAAGGAAGTCGCGTTCTTCGAAGTGTACGTTGACCCAATGCAAAAAAAGCGTTGGCTGAAAGGGCGCGCTAAAATGAATGAGTCAGCACATTTGGAGTCTTAAAGTCACCGTGGAAAACGAACACTACTGCATAGTGTATTGCTTAGACGCTACTATTCGATATCAAAGTTGGAAGGAGACGTCATTGTAATTTGCGTGAGCGCACCCACACAGAATTGCCAAGAGGATCTAACGAGGCAGAATTTTTTTTGAAATACTTTAACGACCAGGCACGCACCTTGTATTGCCTTACTACTATTCACTGATTTCTCAACTTACGTACGTTGTCAGCCGGTGGCTAAAATAGCGGCTGTGACCCTCAAACAAACCTGATGAAAATTTTAGGTTTTATCGTGGCAATTGAAAAGAAGAGGGCTTAGCTAATTTACTGATTAGGATTACACTGTTAAGAACAGTAAAAAAACGTATGCAAGAAATGATAAAAGCTATTTGGCATCATAATGTATCGATTCAATATCGTAGAGAAACAGCTGGAAGACAAGAGAATTAAAATGTAAGAATTACTGCTTTTTAATTTCCTCTGAATTAAGGTTTGTAGGCGCAGATCGAAAGATGAAATCTGTAACAAAATATGTAAAGCGGTATTGTGAGACCTCTAAAGTTAGCGTGTTGCGTTTATGTGTGGAGTTAGACAAAATCCTGCTTACATGCATACAGTGATGACATACCTACCTTCGTACTTGTTGCTAGCTAACGGGTGTCAAATTAAAAATTATACATTTATGAGAAGCCTGGCGACTGACAGTAGTATCTCTCCCCCTCCGAGTCCTCTATAGACCGTAAGACGCGGCAGAAATACAAGAATGAACGTGAAAAT